CTTGGCAACAGGCCATTATTTGGAGCATTTCAAACAAGGGTGGAATTTCATTTCATTTCAGTTTTGGTCAAATTTCACGTATATATTGTGTGTATGCAGTGTTAATTCTTAACTAAAATTTTGTATTTGTGGTTGTGATTATTGGGAAACAGATATACAAAGATTGTGGATGAGGTTCCTTGAATTGAGCAGGGTAATGTTTTTGAATCCCTGTTTTGCTCTCTTCTATATTACCTGAAGGGCCATATGGGGTGACCATTTTAGAAAAGTTTTGATCTCACCTCCTTGTATTTGATGAGAATATTGAGTCATATTTTTTTCCATGCGGTGAAGAACAACTATTATTATACCTCCTTGCATGACTTCTTCATCAATTATTTATTACTGATTGAATCTCTCTTCTTTTGCCAAACACTCCGTACGAAAGATTAAGCCATTTCTCTCTCCCTTTAACCTATAGGCAGTCATATAACATGCCATGAAACCCAAATCTCACTTGGTAAAAGAACCATAGTAACAAGAAAAATTAGAAATTAATCAAAATTTACCTCTGAAAACCATTTATAGAACCTTGCAGAATTGTCAGTTGGCTCACCATCTCCATATCTATACCACAACAAACAAATAAATTAAATACAATGTTATATACCAACAATACACGAGTATGTATATATGTATGCATGTGATGTGAAGTAAAAACTCACGTAGCTAAAAAGAAAAATGCCACAGTTTCTTTCTTCAATTTCTCCTCATATTCTTCATCAGTGGCGGCATAATCATCCTATCAACCATTCATTCAATCAATAATCAACCCTAAAATTAAATTTTAAACAATTACATCAACAACAACAAAAAAAAGGGAGCAAAAAAAGTCACTCACCATATCAATTACTTTAAAGCTTGCCTTTTCGTATCTTGCTTTACCTTCCTCAGCAAGTGCCTGAAAAGTTGAAAAAAACAACAATCAAATCAGTCAAAGTAATTCAATGAACCCCAACCTATTTGAGGAAGTGGCGGTGGTGGCGAATATGAAATCATATATAAATACGATGATGATTCGGGTCCTGCCTAATGAGAAGTCCTTGGATCATAACTTACAAACTGAATGAGAGGCGAAGATCTCTTCATATAATACATTTGAGTATTTGAATTCACTCCAAATGAATCCCAAGCAGTATGAGGAGGTGAGTTCAACCCATACAAAAATTGATCCTTGTGAAGTATATACACTGTTGGGTAGATTAATAGAATTTTTTGATTTCCCATTGGAAGTAAACTAATCCAATGAAAAAAAAAAAAGCAACAAAGTTATCCATCCCTGAAGCTACCTTTAAAATGCAGAAGTACAGCGCTATGCGTTGAAGTCATAATTGGTTCCTACCTGCCAAAATAAAATCCTTTGTGTAGCAGCACCTGTTGGATTGCCTTCTGGCCACATCAGAATAACTATATAAGCTGCAAACCTCTCACGTGCTCTAATTTTCTCAGCAATTTTAAGTGCAATTTCCATAGGAATCAAATTGTTCGCACCTGTAGCAAGAAAATATGCTCACAATCAGTATTCAGTAAAGGAATTTCAAGCATAAAAGCTCAAGAAAGCATCTATTTATTGTCATATCAAAGGCCACTTCACTCTCAACTAAAACACGATGTAGCAAATCAAAAGAACTACCTAATCCTATTAAACCCTCCATCGTAAGTAGAGACACAGAAAAAATCCTCAACCAGTCTCCTTGTTTGCTACAACCAAGCAAGTTGGGATAATAATATGCTGCTTCTCAATGATCAAATTGCATGCTAAGAGAACCAAGAACAGGTTTTAACATTAGCATCCACGACTCTATCCTACCGGCAAATGAAACTTACTATCCAGAACAAATAGCTGCATTATGTGAAATTGAGAGAGAAAGAGCAAACAAAATGGCAGGGAAAAAAAAATCAATCTAACAAAAGTAACATAGAAACATAATTTCTTTTCCTAACAAAGCTCAGCCAATAATTAGTTCATTAAAAGAAACTTGAATGCCCACACCACCTGGAAAAAAATAACACCTGAAAAAAATTACAAAAATATATAAACCAAATCACACCTAGAAAAAAATAAAAAAATAAAAAAATAAATCTAAAATCATAATTAACTATTTATTATCCATGCCAACAACACTTCAAATGTATAAACTTGGCTTATCAGTGTCGTCTTTATGAAGGATTGCAGAAACTTGGCTTAAGGTTGGTCTAGAATTTTCTAAACTTGTACAGCAGAGTTCACTATCTTCTATGCTTGGCCATAATCTTGTGTTGCAATTGTCTGAGTTTATGTAACTTACATTAAGTTACACCTAGAAAGGGTTAAATGAGTCTCTCCTCATTGTGCAGGTGTTGAGAGCTGCTTCACACCCAAAATTCTTAATTTTGGGCAATGTATTGTGGAGGTGATGTTGAGATTCTGAAATATGTTGTCTTTGTTATTTTTTATTTTGGGTAAATTTTAGAATGAATATGTTTACATTTAAAAGTTAAAGTGTCGCTAGTGGGATAGTGTTTAATCTCAGCAGTAATGCCTTCAGATTTTAGAAAGAGAAATTGGTAGAATTATTGGATATATCTCACCAAAGATCAGGCCTCTCTTCACATAATCTCCATTTAATTGAGCTTATATCCTAGATTTATTAAATGTATTCAACACCTTGAGCTTATATCCTGCTTGGAAGTGAGACTCTGCTAAGTTTTATATGGTGACAAACAATATAAGAACTTTATGCAATGCACGTTTCCAGAAGAAATATCGTGATCACAATCATTTGTATGATATACCTCTTGGCTATCTCATGAATGTGGGTTTTTTTAGTTGAATTTGTATTGCACTTTTCAATGGAGGCTGTTGGTTTTATTTTATAATATATCAAGAAAATGAGGCTTTTAGTTATGTCAAATTACATCAGGAAGTGCTAAATCAAGCACATATCAAAGGTAATTCCTGATTTAGTGACAATTCACCACTAAATTGTGAGTACACTTGTTTCTAACTGCTAAATTCTTCCTATCTGTCATGAGTATGATCATAAGCACTGGGTAAGTCATATTGTTACCTGTTCAGCAGCTGTGCATCTTTGCATTGACATCTTTCTTGTTATTAATTTTGGGCACTTCTCCAACTAATTGCAGTAATATTTTTAAAAAAAAAAAATTGAGGAAAAAATTTCAAATAGTCACTAAAATTTGTCTAATGATTATGCTACTAATAAACTTATGTATTATTTTTAGTTATGCTCAAAACTAATCAATGCAAGATTTTTCAAAAGCCAAGTAGAACTCAAATGCCAAAAACTGTTATTATCATCTTCTGAGACATTTCCTCATGAGACCTACAAAAGGTTCTATCAAATTAATAACCAAAATCAAGCATTGAAATCTTCCCCTAATAATCAATTTAACAATCTACTTCACAAAAAAGCATTGAAATCATCCCCTGATAAGCAATAATATGTATGAAAATATAACGGCTTTATCGAAGCTATTATACATTTCAAAAGAGGCAAAGAAACTTTATGATATACAAATTCAGATAACCACTGCATTCAGGTAACCACTACATGATATACAAAAAAATAAACTTTATTATGGAAAAAAAGGCAAAAAAACACAAAAAGCCACACAGGAACATACTTCTCATCCTTGAGACTCAAACAACTTTTCATCCTCCATCATTTGGAACATACTTCAACCAAACAGGAAAACCCCTAAAAACAAAAAAGCAAAATAAAATCAAACATTAAAAAAAAAAAACTTGAATCTCAAAAATCCATTCTCAAAAACTCATCAAATATATATAGATTAAAACTTTAAAATTCATGTTGAGGAAAGCTTTCCAACCTTATCAATAAAAGATGCAGGGTAACATCGATATGTTTGCTCAAGTGATGCTCCATGATATCCATATCCATCAAAATACTGCAATGTGTCCCCACCAATGAAATGAATTAATTATGACAGTGATAATGATATAAACAACAACTACAATAATATAGTAATTGTAATAGTTATTAACTGTTATTTTTATTTTTATTACAACATCTAATGAAATGAATTTAGACGGTGAACATAATTAAACAATATCTATATATATTGAAATAACTAAATATGCACTGATTTGGGCTGCAAAATATAGTAATTAATAGTGAAGCAATGAATATAATTCAAACATGTCCATAAACAAATAGTTATCAAATGGAAATTTACAGTAAGGGAAATGTAATACATATAGAAGTTGTATACATATTGTGCAAAAATCATAAAAGCATTAAACACAAAAGGGCAATTCTCTTTTTTATGCCAATCATAGTGGTTCCCCTCAGAGACCTGATAGACGTATCCTTACCCGTGGCCTTCCAGTACCTAGCCAGAGTCGCTCTGTTCAATCGCTGCCCATTCTGATACTTGCGATCTTTAGGACAGAAAAAGAACCACTCTTCATCGGTCGTCTTTATCCTCGATTTATCTGCATAAAAATAGATCAAATCAAACCCAAAATTAGGGCTTTTAATCAAGTATATATCAATAATCAAAGCAAAAAACCTAAAATTTTAATTTTTTAATTTTTTTATGTGGGTAGTTTTACCAGACAAATCTCAAGGTTCGCATTTGCAGACATCGATCTCTCGAATAACACTGACTTGGTTCTCATCGCCGTTGATCTTCAACTTCAGATAGTGATTGATAAGTACTTCGTCGGTAGGGCGAAATCGGTACCCAACTGGAAGAGACTCCTCCGCCAAAATTTTAGAGAAAGAGAGAGAAGAAAGGGAAAGTGGGTATGGATCGAAATGAAGAATTAAAAACCTATAGAGGTAGCATAGGGAATGGATAAACAAATCGAAAGAGAAGATGTATGAGATTCAAAGAAAATTCAGTGGGGTTTCAAAGACGTGGGGTTTGAATTGAAAAAGGAAGCAACAGAGAAAGTGAGAGAGATAGATATAGAGATTGACAGAAACCATCACAGATTCCTGGGCGGGAGATCTATTGATCTCAACCATTGACATAAATTTAGGATTAATCTCAGACATTAAAATGTCTCTCTCATATATTTATATATTTTCAAAAACTCTCATTCCTTATTATATAGATATATATATAAGCATATCACAATTAGGGAGAGCCAAATGCACCCTTACGAATCGTATGAAATCAAATTTCAATTAAACTTCCCAGATGACTCTAAAAATCATGCTGATCATACTTACGTAGTCCGTTCTGGTTTCTGAAGCCTCTAAGGCCTTCAATTTGCAATGTAAAGTTAACCATCCAAACATACCTTAACGAATCAGACGAAATAAATTTCCAATTAACTTTTCCAAATGGCTCTAAAAATTCCCATTAGCATATCCATGTACTTAATTTTGATTTTTGAACCTATAAAGGTCGTCAATTTCAGTTTTAAAGTTGTAACTCAACAGATAATTCTTCAATTCAAACAGATATCATTAAATTAAAGTACATTAACCCAAAATTAAATAAAGATAATTTCTGATATGCATTTTGGGATAGTTACGCAAATTGTAACTCTGACTGATCGATGATTCAACTAATCAAACCAACCGATTCAGCCCGGTTTTCTAAACCATGAATAACATGATGGAATGGTCGAACAACATCATCAACTTATGTTATTGGTTAATACAAAAAATTGGTACACACAATTTCTCATCACCCTCTCTCCCAACTAAAACAATAAGCCATCGGTACTATGACACTGGTGATGCTATGGTATATTTAGATGTACCATGTATCAGTTATGAAGATATGTAATTTTATATTATAACTAATATCATATAGGTTATAACCATTATCATATTAACTCATAACTTAGTTATATTTAGTTATTCATACATACCATATTATCTCATAACTACCACATAACTAAATTATTTTAATAATTTAATTTTGAATTGGCAACCGGTGTAACCGATTACCAAAAAGAGGGCAAAAGAAATCAGAGGAGTCTAGGGGTCCCAATATCACATATCTCATAACCACTAGTCACATATTTCATAATCAACATCAGATATCTTAAAACCACTAGTCACATATCTCATAACCAACACATTTTTTTCATAACCAACATCACGTATCTCATAACTACT